AAATTATTATTTTTTTATTACTATTAATTTCAATGAAAAAGACTTTGGATTTCCATTCATTGTTGCACTTTTCTCCCTACTCACCCCTCCCCTCCATTACACTCTTCTCTTTGAAAAGTAAAAGTTCCCCCATTGTTTTACAACCCCTCCCCCCAGGTCCATTCCACTGTGCAGCCTTCATTCTGGACTCCTGTCATGACAATAATACCTAATCACATATCCCTTTTAAACAGTTTTCTCCCTCATCTGTTTCAATGTAGTATGCATTATTGAACCCATCTTTCTCAGTCTCCCCCCAACCCTGATGTCAGTTCTGTTTTACAACAGTGGCACTATGTGGTATTTGTCCTTTTGTGACTGGGATACTTCACTCAGCATAATGTCCTCCAGGGTCACCCATTTTGAATAATATTGCATGAGTTCCTTGTTTTTCAATGCAGCATAGTATTCCATTGTGTGAATATACCACAGCTTCTCTATCCATTTGTTTGTTGATGGGCACTTAGGTTGTTTCCAACTCCTTGCTATTATGAACAAAGCCGTGATAAACATGGGTGTGCATATATCTGCTTGGGTGGCAGTTATGGTTTCTTTGGTGTATATTCCCAGTAGTGGAATTGCTGAGTCAAATGGGATTTCTATTTGCAACTTTTTGAGAAAGCGCCACACCGCTTTCCACAGTGGCCGCACCATTTTACACTTCCACCAATAGTGAATAAGTGTTCCAGTTTCTCCACAACCTCGCCAGCATTTGTTTCTTGCTGTTCTGTTAAATTTTGCTATTCTTACTAGGATGAGATGGTATCTCATAGTTGTTTTGGATTTTCTTTTTAGTAATTTTTTTATAGTGGTTTGCTTACAAAGTTCTTACACATTATTTTTTACACCAGATCCTTCCCATTTTTCCTCCCACCCTCTCTCCACCCCAAACTGTGCAACCATATGATTACACCCCTGCCAACCCTCACCCCTCTGTTCCTCCCCTCCTCTCCTTGGGTACTCATACATATTTTACTAGTTATCTTTCTATTTCTATAATAATCGTCTTATACAGTATTTGTCTTTACGGGACTGAGTTCACTTAGCATAACTCTCTCCAGTCCCTTCCAAGTTAGGTAGTGATTTTCAAAATCATTGCTCCTGCATGCTGCACAGTATTCCATGTGAATGTACCATGACTTCTCAATGCATTTGACTGTGGTTGGACATTTGGGCTGTTTTCATGTTCTTATGATGAATAACGCTGCTATGAACATTGGTGTACAAATCTGTTTTGAGCCTCAGTTCTAATTTTTTTGGAGTATATTCCAACATTGGAATATCTGGGTTATATGGAATTTCTATGTTCAGTTATTTTTAAGAAATGCCAAACTGCCTTCCAGGGTAGTGTACCCTTTTACAATCCCACCAACAGTGTATAAAAGTTCCTATCTTGCCACATTCTCTCCAACATTTATTACTTGCTGTCTTGTTAAACTTTGCCAGTGCTATTGGGGTAACTAGGGATGAGAGAAAGGGAATTGATGCCTTTGAGCTGTGGTGCTAGAGAAGAGTACTGAATATACCATGGACTGCCAAGAGAACAAATAAGTTCATCCTGGAGAGGATAAAACCAGGCTGTTCCTTGGTGGCAAGGATTCTGAGGCTTTGTCTGACAAACTTTGGCATGTTTGCAAGGAGGGACCAGGCCTTGCAGAGGGACATCATGCTTGGAAGGGTGGAGGGACAGTGAAAGAGAGGAAGACTCTGGATGAGATGGATTGATTCAGTGACTGGGGTAATGAATGTAGGTGTGTAAAAGACAATAAGGTTGGCACAGGATAGAGCAGGTTTCAGGGCTGTTGTACATAGGGTCACTATGAGTCGCAGGTGACTCGATGGCACATAACAACAACAACAACATGGGGTGAGATGGCATCTCATTTTGGTTTTGATTTGTATTTCTCTTATTGCCGGTGATCTTAAGTATTTCTTCATGTGTCTGTTGGCCATCCGTGTATTTTCCTCTGTGAAAAGTCTTTCCATTTCTTTTTGCCCATTTTGTAATTGTGTCCAGTCTTTTTCTTGTGGAGGCCCTGCAGCATTATTCGGATATGAGACCCCTGTCTGAAATGATATTGTCAAGTGTTTTTTTCCCAGTCAGTAGGTGTTCTTTCCAATCTGTTGGAAAAGGTTTGTTGTTTCTTTTTTAAAAGGTTTTTTATGTGTACAGAGGTTTAATCTTTAGAAGGTCCCATTCATCAATTTTATCCTCTTGGTTGTGTATTCTGGCTGTATTTGTCAGCCTTTTTATATCATGAGCTGGGCCTTCTAAACTTGGCCCTACTTTTTCTCTTATGATCGTTATAGTTTTGGGATTTACCTCTAGGTCTCTGATCCACACTGACTTGATTTTTGTGTATGGTGATAGGTGTGCATCTTGCATCAGCTTTTTACAGGTATGAAGTCCAGTTTTGCCCCCATCATTTGTTGAAGAGGTTATTTACAGATTCTTGATGATTTTTTTAGTGATGTCTGAAACTTCACTGTGCCCCCCTATGGTTTTTAAGGGCTGTCATTTTTCAAAAAGGATTCAAAATTAGTAGCCTTGTTTTTAAAGCATTCTTACATTTACAAAATAACTGAGCAGAAAGCAGAGCTCCCATATAAACCTTTCTGCTGCATATAATATCTCCTATTATTAATTAATTTGAGGCTTCAGTCTTTACGGAAGCAGAACGCTAGGTACTCTCTTCTCAGTGGTTGGGTTTAAATTTCAGACATTTTTTGATTAACAGTGAACAAATGCTTAACCACTCTATCACCCAGGCTTCCTGAAGTTAAGTGTAAGGACTCCTTTAACAAACAGAAATATACTGCCTTGAAGCTTACTCCTTCCTGTCCACCCTTGTTGCTGTTGTTAGGTGCTATCAAGTTGAATAAAACTCATAGTGACCCTATGAACAAAAGATCTCAACCCTGTTCTGTCTTGTACCATCCTCACACTTCCTGATACACAAGAGCCCATTGCAGCAGTCACTGTGTCAGTCTACCTGGTTGACGGTCTTCCTATTGTTCTCTGACCCTCCACTCTTCCCAGCATCGTGTCCTTCTCCAAGGAATAGGTCCTCCTAGCAACATGCCCAAAGTATATGATGTGAAGCCTCATCGTTCTTGCCTCCAAAGAGTATTCCAGCTGTACCCTCTCCAAGACATATCTATTAATTCATGGAATGTTCCATGGTCTTCTCCACCACAGCTCAAAGGCATTAGTTCTTTTTTTGTCATCCTTATTCACTCTCCAGTTTTGAGATACACAGCAAGTAACTGGAAAGACTATGGCATGAATCAGACGGACCCTAGTCCTCAAACTGACAGCATTACTCAATAATATGGAGAGATCTCTAACTTCAGATTTTCCCAGTGTAATTTGTCTCCTTATTTCCTGACTGCTGGTATCAAGCATGTTGATTTCGGATGCAAGCAAGATGAAGCTCTTGACAGTTTCAATCTCCTCTGCATCTATCATGATGCTGCCTATCAGTGGTAAGAATCTTTGTTTTCATGACAATGAGATGCAATCTATACCAAAGACTGCATTTCTTGATCTTCTGCAACAAGTACTTCAAGTCCTCCTCACTTTCGGGAAGCAAGGTTGTGTTATCTGCCTAACACAGGTTATTGATGCGTCTTCCTCCAATTCTGATGCCACACTCCTCTTCATAGGGTTCAGCTTCTTGGCTAATTTGCTCAGCATACAGATTGAATAGATATGGAGAGGTAATACAACTCTGCCACATTCCCTTCTCAATACCTTGCCTTCAATAATCTCAAGGTGCTTGTCTCCTCCTCCTCCATCCCAGCACCCTGCTTTCTGTTCCTTCCATTTTGCTTTCAGTTCTTTAAACCAGTCACTTAAAAGACTGTTACAGCAGTTTTTCTGTGCAAGGCACAGTGAAGAGAAGAAGTTAAGAGTTTTTTCCAGAACTTTCTTCTTTTTCCCATCTTTCATTTGAGCTGAAAGGAAGCAGGGTAATCTCTCTTACCAAGGAATGGGGTTGCAGGAAGGTGAAACGATTTGTCCAAGGCTGGTTCTCAGCTGGGGTAGGACTAGAATCCGTACCAGTGGTTTAAAATTCTGGGATTTCTGACCATATTACCAGTCTAGGAAAGGCATCAGGTATCACTTAACTCAATCTTCTTGAAAGCTTTATCTTCCAGTTCCCAAGAAAATGCAGCCTCTTGTTTCCCAATTCTGCAAGTAGAGGCAAAACTCAGGATTTGAGGACATCCATGTGACTTCACTTCTCTCTCATTAAGTGTTCATGTCCCTCCTTGGAGAGAAGGACATCGTGCTCGGAAGGGTGAAGGGACAGCTTAGGAGAGGAAGAGACGGGATGAGATGGATTGATACAGTAACTGGGGCAATGGGGGTTGGTGTGTGTGAGTCTGTGAGACTGGCTCAGGACAGAGCTGTGTACAGAGGTGCTGTACACAGACAGGGTCACAGGCAACTCGAAGGCACATAACAACAAACAACAATGGCTCTCATCCACTCGTCAAAGTTGGGCAAAGAGTAAGAAAGAAGCAAGAATTGGTGCCTTTGACTTGTGGTGCTGGAGAAGAATACTGAATATCCTATGGACTGCCGAAAGAACAAACAAGTCTGTCTTAGAGGAAGTGGAACCAGGGTGCTCTTCAGAGGTAAGACGGGTGAAACTTCTCCCATACTTTGTACATATTATCAGGCGGCAACAATCTTAGAAGACAACATCAAGCTGGAGAAATCAGAGGGTTAGTGAAAGCAAGGAAGATCCTTAAAGAGAAGGACTGATAGTGTGACTGCAACAAAGGACGTGGGCATGGCTGAGATCGTGAGGATGGCACAGCGGAGGGCAAAGTTTCCATCTGTCGTTCAAAGGATCACTGTGAGCCCTGGGTGACTCGATGGAACCTAGCAACAACTGCTCTTATGTGCCAGGCCTGGGAAAGGGCGATCCTGCTCGCCCGGGACCACTCACCTGGCCCCCGCTGCCTTGAAGAGCTCAGCCCACTCCGACGGCTCGAAGAAGGTGGCCCTGAACTGCGGCCCGAAGTCGGCGTAGGTGAAACCCGGAGGGTAGTTCTCCTTCATGAAGACCTCGTACTGGGCCTTCGGCTCGCCCTTCCAGTGCCACCAGAACCACTCGCTGCCCCAGGCCGGCACCGAGAACACGCCCCAGTGTATGAACACCCCGAACTTGGCCTCATCGTACCAAGCCGGCAGTGGCCGCGAGTCCAGACTATCCCAGTCCGGGGTGTATAAGCGATGAGCACGGTGAGCCGGCCGAACGCCCCGAGATGCGTGCCCAGACCTTTCCCCTTGGAGAAGCAGCAGCAGGAGCTGCGCGACAGCCAACCGCAACCACATCTCGGCGGTAAGCACAGCTGCGCGTCTCTACCGCTTCCTTAATGCGTCGGCAAAGCCGCGCGGTCTCCGCCCACTCTCACTAATGATTGGCTTAGAAACAAGTGAAGGGGCGGGCCAACCGAGGGAACCCGAGACTGAGCCTCCTTCCCTGTGGCTCGGCCGAGCCTGCAGCGCCCTCGGGCGCGCACACACACGCGCCCCCCCCGCCAAGGTGGTCAGGGAGCAGAGAGTTCAGCAGATGACAAGTGAAAACTTGATAGGGATTTAATTTCGGGGTTAAATAGAGTAGTTAACTTTTCTGCAGCAATTGAGTAGTTTTCAGGTTTTATTTAGTGATCAGCTGCCAGTTTTCTGTATTATATTTCAATATTAAGAAAACAAAAATCCTCACCACTGGACCAATAGACAACATCAGGATAAATGGAGAAAATATTGAAGTTGTCAACTATTTCATCTTGATTGGATCCACAATGAGTACCCTTGGTATCAATAGTCAAGAAATCAGAAGATGTGTTACACTTAGAAAATATGCTATCAAGGACCTCTCCAAAGTGTTAAGGACCAAGAATGTCAGTTTAAAGATGAAGGTGAACCTGATCCAAGCCATGCTCTTTTCCATTGCCTGCTGTGCATCTGAAAGTTGGACAACGACTAAGGATGACAGAAGAATTAATGCCTTTGAGCTGTGGTGTTGGAGAAGAGTACTGAATAGCTCATAGACTGCCGAAAGAACAAATAAGTATGTCTTGGAAAAAGGGCAGTCATGGGTTTTCTTAAGAGGTGAGGATGTGTTTTTAGGAGAGGCTGTTCCTTGGAGAAGGACATCATGCTTGGAAAGGTGGAGAATCAGTGAAAGAGAGGAAGACTCAATAATATGGGCTGACACAATGACTGTAGCAATAAGCTCAAGTGTATCAGATATGGTAAGGATGGCACAGGATAGGACAAGAGACAAATCTACTGTTCAGAGGATTACTGTGAGTCATAGTTGACTCAAAGGCACTTAACAACAACAACAATGAAAGATCTAACAGTGGGGCTGAGATATCAGATGTATGGACATTGTAGTGGACATAGCAGAAATAATAGCTAAAGAGATGATAGGCAAAATGATAGGCAAAAAATAATTCTGTGTTAATGGGGTCCAAGCTCCGTTAGATTGAACAGTTCTGCCAAGAGTAGGGACAAGGATTAAATGATGGCGCAGAGAGGCTACCAGCTGATGGCGGACAGCAGAACTTTATTCTTTAGACAAAGTATATATAGGCTTTTAGTAGTACCTCTGTTGTAACAGTCACATTATCTCAAGATGCCAATTATCTGGGCAATCATTAACATTTATCAACCTCAGCACAATACAAGGGTGTTTTCCAGAATACATTATTGTGTGCTTTAAGAAACAAATGGTTTTGGTTGATAAGGACACTACATTCTTTAAGGTTTAAGATATTTGGTCATTCTTATTTTTTAACATCCTACTTCCTTGACTTGTTTAGTGCCAAGCAGATACTCCAGCCAAGATGGAGTTAGTTTTGCTGGTCTTACGGTACAGGGCTAGTCTTACTTTACAAGTTAGCTAGGCTCCAACACTGTGTATATTAACAGCGATGTTGTTAAGTGGCATTGAGTACAGCTCACAGCAACCCCCAAAACAACAGATCTGAGCCCTATCCTAATCTGTGCCATCCTCATAATCTCTGCCACATTTGAGCCCATTGCCGCTGTCACCATAACAACTCACCTGGTGGAGGTTCTTGCTCTCCCTTTGCCGTCCCTCCACCTTCCCAAGCATGACGTTTCTCTCTAAGAAAGAACCTCTCCTAGAAACATGCCCAAAGTATGTGAGATGAAGCTTCATGCTAATTAATTATTAATAATAAATGTTAATAATTTTGTTATTGTTAGATGCTTTTGAACCAACTATGACTCATAATGACCCTACAAATAACTGATCCAGAACTTTGCCCTATCTTGCAACATCCTCATGATCTGTCATGCTCAAAGCCATTGTTATGGTCATTTTGACAACCCAACTCATTGAGAGGTCTTCACTGACCCTCTGGCTTTTCCAAGCATGATATCTTTTTCCGAGGACTTACCCCTCCTGACGACACGCCCGCAGTATATGAGATGATGTTTCCATCCTCGCCTCTAAGGAACGCCCTGGTTGTACTTCCTCCAAGACAGATTTGTGTGTTCTTTTATCAGTCCATAGGATATTCAATACTTTCACCAAAACTACAATCCAAAGACATAAATTATTTTTCAGTCTTCCTCATTCATCGTCCAACTTTCACATATACATGAAACAATTGAAAACAAGGTGAGAATCAGGTTCACTTTGGTCTTTAAATTGACAACATGGCTGTTCAGCACTATAAAGGGCTGTTGACAGCTGATTTTGCGTATGCAACATATCTTTTGATTTCTTGACTGCTGCTACGTGGGGTGTTGAGTGTGGATCCAAATGCGATGAAATTATTGACAACTGCAATCTTTTCTCCATCTATCCTAATGTTTACTTATTGGTTTAGTGGTGAGAATTTTTGTTTTCTTGATGTTGGGATGTAATCCATATGGAAGGTATAGTCTTTGATCTTCTGAAGGAAGTGTTTCAATTCCTTTTCACTTTCAGCAAGCAAGGTTGTGTCACTTACATAGTGGAGGTTGAAAAGTCTTCCTCTATCCTGGTGGCACATTCTTCATATGGCCCAACTTCTCAAATGATTTGCTCAGCGTAGAGATTGAAGAGATATGGTACAACCCTGATGCATATCTTTCCTGCTTTTAAGACGCACAGCCTCACCTTGTTCCGGTTGAGTGACTGCTTCTTGATCTATGTACTGGTTGCGCAGGATCACAACTAATTGCTCTACAATTCCTCATATGTCCTCAATATTATCTATAATTTTGTAAAAAGGAGCCCTTGTGACTCAGGCTAGTAGTGTCAAGGGCTCGGGTACTTATTGAAACATTGGTGATTCCAATCCACCAAATGTTCTGAGAGAGAAATATAGAGCAACTCTCTTCCCTGTGAAGAGCAGCTATGATTAGATGAAGATCAGCTGTGATTAGATGCTGGCGGCTCGATTCCTATGCAATGACCCTATGTACAAAGGAATGAAATGCTGTCCCTCCCGTGCCACCCTCATAATCATTGCAATATTTGGGACCAGTTGTAGCCACTGTGTTGATCTATCTGATTGAGGATAGTCCTGTTTTTTCGTCGACCTTTATTTAACCAAACACAATGTCCTACAGGACTCTTCACTCCTGACAACATGCTCAAAGTATGTGAAGTAAAGCTTTAGTATCCTCACTTCTTTTTTCCTTTTTTTTGCATCAAGAATTAACCTTTAAATATTAATTTTAAACATATACTTTCTGAAGTATCAGTAAAGGTCATATTTTATTCTGTTTTGAAATATTGGTACCACCAAAAAGTAACATTTTTTTTCTTCTTCTTTGAGTCTTTTTCTTTGCTGACCATGACTTCCTTAAAAGAAGTATGAATGGATGAACAGAGGGCTAGGTTTTGTTCTGTTTTACTTTTGGTATTTTTTTTTTAAATTTATTAATTTGAATGAACATTTACAGAGATTTTGGATTTCCAGTCATTCATTGTTGCACTTTTCTCCCCGCCCACCCCTTCCCCTAGTGGGTTTTCTTTTTAAGAAGAGAATAAAAGTCAAACTTTTTTTTTTAAAAGGGGTACTTATGGACTTGAGTACTGCAGAGGAGTATTACAGTAATTAGATGTGTTTCTAAAATTGCCTGCTGTTATCACATCCTCTCCATCATGAGTGGGGCACATTTGTGCTCATGCCTTCCCGGCACAACAGGAGATCACTGAGAGGCACAGCATCCTGAGAGGAGGGGCCAGAATTCAGATCCTTGGATGCACAACCTATGGCTCTCTCCTTGCTGTCCCCAACAATTTTTTTTTATTCGGATCCACAATAAAAACCTCACGGTAGCTCACTCTCTCATTGCTGTTGAGTCAGAACAGACTCATAGCTAACCCTCCAGTGGGTGCTCAAAGGCTGTAAATCCCATGGGAGGACATGGTCCATCTTTCTCCTATGGAGCTGCTGGTGGATTTGAACCCCCAAAGAGGAGCAGCCTTTGGGTTAGCAAGTAACTCTCTAGGGACTAAGTCACCAGATCTCCCCATGACAGAAACAGTAAAATAAAACAAACAAAAACCCCAAAACCAAACCAAACCAAAACCCAAAAATCCTGCTGCCAAGGATGTCTTTTAAAGCGCTAAAGGGCAAGGATATCAGTTTTAAAGACTAAGGTGTGCTTAAGACCCAAGCCACAGTAATTTCAGTTGCATTGTATGCATGTGGAAGTTGCACAATGAATAGGAAAACTGGACAGAGAAGAATTGATAGCTTTGAATGTCGGTGCTGGAGAAGTGTGCTGAATATCTCATGGGCTGCCAAAAGAACAAACAAGTCCTTCATAGAGGAAGTGCAACCAGGATGCTTCTTAGAGGCAAGGATGTCAAAACTCTGTTTCACATACTTTGGGCAAGTAGTCAGGAGGGGCCTGTCCTTAGAAAACAACATCATTCTTGGAAAAGCAGAGGGTCAGTGAAAAAGAGGAAGACCCTCAATGAGATGGTTTGATTCAGTGTCTGCAAGAATGAGCTCAAGCATGGCAGAAATCTAAGGAGATCCTTGACAGAAGATTTTCCCAGTGCAACTTGTCTCCCTCCCTCCCTCCTTTCCTTCCTTCCTTCCTTCCTTCCTTCCTTCCTTCCTTCCTTCCTTCCTTCCTTCCTTCCTTCTCAGATCCAACTGGCATAGGAGGAGATTGCCCATCCTTCTCTAGCAGAGCATCTAGGGGATTTGAACAGCACACCTTCCAGATTGCAGCACAGCTTTTTGGCATTAGGCCACCAGAGCTCCTTATGTCTTGACTTCTTGACTGCTGCTAGAATGAGTATTGATTGTGGATCTAAGTCAAATGAAATCCCTGAGAACTTCAATCTT